AGAGAGAGAGAGAGAGGATAGAACGAGATAGATGCAAAGCGAGCAATTACTACAGCTTTAAAAACATCCCAACCTTTCGCATCATTTGCTCCTCTCCCTGTTACTTTAGTGCCATCGTATGCTGGTGGAATATATGGTGGAACTGTATCCATATGAGTATTCAACACATACCGAGGTCCTTAAAAAGGCCACATGGATGATTTTGCTGAAGCAACAGGATCAATAGGATTTACTTCAGATCACACGGTTTTTTACCACTTTATGAAAATTACATTCGATTAGACATTTTATCTTTCTCTCAAAAATAAAAATTGCGAATGAACCGTGAATTCCTTTTTGTTCAAAAAGGACTCAAGTTTCAGCATCTTAAGCAACTGACCTGGAGCTATATATGGAATCTTAGTAACTAAAAGATTGTGTCTTTTTGGATCACTTTTCAGTGGCTGCTGTAAAACGTGCCATCCGGTTGCTTTGAAATAAACTGTTAAAGCCGCCGACAGGTCTTCTAAAATATATTGAATTAACAGAATTATCCGAAGGGAATCTATAGGAAGCTGACCATAAGAACTACCCAGTTCACTTTTTTTTAAGTGCCGAACTTCATACCAAATCTCGCTACAAAACGAAGTTAATAGAACTCAAACGATTATATGTAAATGAAAATATTTCCGTACCTTCATTTCCAGTGCAGGAATTGATTTTCATCAATTCCGTTAAAAAAATTTCAACACGTTCTTCGTTGGGATTTAATAGAGGTGATGTAGGCATAGTGATTAATTAGTTCTGGAAGAACTAATTGAAAATCAAATTCAAATCAATTAAAAACTTGAGATACACGATGTGTACCCGACTGCTAACAACACTGAAGCTCTACTATGCACGAGTAAACAAAATGTAAACAATTTTGAAACAATGAAATTTTTTCATTTTGCTCCATATATTTTAAAAACATTTGTCACTGATTTTATCGATCTCTGCCCTCTCCTCTATTACAGCAGTCTTTTCACTTTGTCAATCGCCAGTAAAACTACAAATTTCCACCAATTTCTTGTTTTCATAACTCCCTTCCCCCATCCCTCCTAGCAATGTAACCCCCTATATAACAACCTTCCCCGCCTTCCCCCCACCCACAACTATGCCACCCATCTCGCTGCACTTCCATCCTCGCGCCGTCTTGGTCGGATGTATGGTTAATTTCATCTCCCGACGACGTGGAACGATATGAAATCTCACGTCTTATATGGACTCTCCTGATAATAACACTCGCGGTGTTTATTTTGGGGCGACACACGCAGAAAGGCCTGAAATAGTTGTCGCTATCGAAGGACAGAAATCAACGAATTTCTCTGACGAGTAAATGCTTTTATGTTACATTACTGATCAACGAATTCATCTATAGCATGCTAAAATGCATGTAGTGCAGTACATAAGAACAACATGTAAACGGAAAGCAACGATAATTACGCGAAATACACCTGACTAGTTCCCAAACTTTATTTGAAAATTGAAATTTTGAAGACTCCGAAGTTTGGAAAGTTCACAAAGATTCATGTGCATGTTACTTAGTCAAATGAAAAGAAGAATTCTTATTTATGTAATTTTTTTTTCAGAACTTTTTTAAACGTCTCTGGACTACAGAATTGTGCCTTTCAGTCTAAACAATTGGCTCGTTAGAAAGTTTCCCTTCATTTTTTTCTTGCAGATTTTCACTAACTCTCAAATTCTAATTGTCTTTGGTCCTCAAAAGTACAATTTGGAAGACACGCCCTCTCAAACAATGCCCATAAATTGATTATTGTTTTTAAGGAAACATATCATTTGTAACCCAAATCAGATTTATCATTTCATTTAAGATATTTGATTTATTGGCCCTTTCGTTAAAATACAAAGATCTGTAACAATCTTCACGGTCATAAATGACCTGTGTTCTCAATCCGTGTCCAAAGTATTGTTGCTGCTGATGAAGTTACTATCTACCGATCATTGCACAGATATTACTGGTCAAAGTTGTTTACTATCAGAACATTAGCGCTTTATTGACGTTCCATAATCCACAATTGGAATATTCCGATGACATTTTTAG